CCCCCCCCAGCTCCGACATCCTTCGCGGATTGCGGCAATATGTCAATGGAAGACACAGACGAAAGCAAACACTCTTTTATGAGCTTCCACAGCACTTGAGAAAGCCAGCCGGCGTACGTCCAGTTCTCATTTTCCGACCACCACTGCAAAATATTGAAAACCATCAACTTGGACTACAGGCGGATTGTTGCCCAAATGCAGTGTATCATAGCTGGCAGGTTTATGGCTGGCGTGGGGACGTTGTTAGGCGATATTAGAGCCTCTTATCTTGATAAACGTGGACTGCTCCACGAAGTTCATTGCAAAATTCCATTTGGGACAGGTCTTCGTCGGACGTATAGCCAACACACGCGAAGTTTCGTCTGTAATGCGCGGTGCTATCTCGCTTTACGATTCTGGTTCTCGTCGGTTTGCTTGAAACTGAACCCTCTCTGTAAATCATCAAGGGCCAGTTTTGCTGACCTTAATGACTCCCATTCACGTGCGAGCATGCCAAATGACAGAAGGTCATGCCACTTCCGGTCCATGAAGAGTGCCTCCTTCATGACGCCTTCAAGGCGGAAGCCCATTTTCTTATATAACGCGGTGGCCCTCTCGTTGTAGGCCCCTGTTCCAATCTCAACGCGGTGCAGATCGGCAAATCGAAAGGACCAGTCCAAGGCCCAGTTAATGGACTCCCGGCCGTAGCCTCGGTTCTGGTACGGGGCGGCGATCTGAATCCCTATACGAGCCCGCCGCATGACATCGGGTCCTGTCCTCTCCACGATGAGAATCCCTATCGGTATCGACTTCCGCCGAGTGTCAAACACGAGTTCTGTTGGCGTGTCCATCTGCATCGAAGCCTGACTAGACGTCTCATCCTTCTCATATGGCAGACAAACCATTACAGCGAGGCAAGCTGTCCTTATCATCTCCTCTATTTCTTTGTAGCCGTTCTGCCGGGACTGAGGCCTAAGAATTCCGAGAAGTGCGAAACCGTAGTTGACGGGATCGCTCCAGAAACTACGGAAGATGAAGTGCTTGTCGGATTCATCGTCTTCGATTGCGCGGTAGATAAGATTCTCAGACCGGAATGCCCCCACAAGGCTCGACTCCATGGTCTCCATAGTATATGGGGAAGCGTCGCGTGGTCGCCGTGTCATGGCGCTCTTGCACTTAATCACGGGTCTATAGCCAGCAAGGACCAACTGTTTTCAATTGAATGATTGCGCTTTTAAAGGACACAAAAGAAGGAGATCGTACCAGAAAGGGTGCAGTACCTTCACGATGATGATGAGTGCACTGGGAAATAACAAGCTTCTAGTAACTGAGCTGGGACAATGTTCGCGGTTCAAGCTGCACATTCTTATGCCGAGGAGCCAGAATTGAAACGCGATGGCCACTGAATCGAGAATCTGGGTGAACATCATGTTGCAGCCAAGCAAGCCCAGTAGCCGGGTAGACTGGGGGATCAAGCTTCTGCAAGACTTGTCCACAACTTCCGAACCGGATTGGTTTCACGGCAGTGACCTCGACATCTTCTTGGGCTTGTGCTGCACAGCACCTTGTGTGACGCGCCACCCAAGCTATCAGTCAATTCGGCACGGCTTGCCTTTTAGTTGGTGCGGGATGTTTCAGATCCGAATCAAACCAGGATGTGAGTCGATGCCAAGGCACAGGGTCAATACAAAAGGTCCAAGCCACAACCTGTCAAACGAGGTGGCCGATTAAAGAGGATGCTGGTAGCTAGCTGTCACGTGACCAGATGGTCTGGTATGGAGATTGCGGGATTTCCGACAGATAGAGACAGACAGACAACAATACACAACAGACGCGATGAACAGGTCAATTCCTCAGAAAGGACGTATCTACTAGGTCGCCATTACCCTGTCTCCGCCTGACGGTCTGACAGCAAGCAACAGTGTCAATCGTCGGCAGCAGGGCGTAGCCAGTAGCCTGATCGGTACGCTGAACCTGTATGGCACCAGCTCAAGGCTTGGGTTTTCTGCAATAATCGAAACAGAAGTAGCTAGAGGGAGAAGCGATGAAGTCACAGTCTATCGAGCTGCGTTGTAATTTGCAGCCGGTGTTGCCCTAGCCGGCCTTATCTTAGGCATTGCTTTCATCAGAATTCCGAAGGATGAACGGGAAGGCTGGGAAGCCTCGACAGTTGACAACCTGGACCTAGAAGCAACCACCGCATCTATCTTGCGCACATAGCAGATATGATCCGGAGGAAACAAGGCTTGTTCATCTTTACATTAACTACAGTTGCATATTCGTCCAATGGGTAGGTACTATAAGATGCAGGTCCTCGTCACGTCATGTATGACACACTTTGCAGAGTTGATGTCGGTTAGGTCGGTCGACGAATACCGCTAGACTAGCAGCATGTAGACTCTTGTACATAGAAGCCTCAGCGTGAATTATAGGGACTGCTTCCTTGTTATCTTCGAAACGTGAACCAAGTAGTATTCCCGATTCAAACCTGGGTTACCAGGTGTTAATGTTTTCGACCCCTTAAAGAAAGTTCCAATGTCTATACGAAACTGTGACTACTCAGGGAGACTGCACATTGCGGTCAAGGATCATCACTCTTGCAACCCCTATCCCGTGTGAACATGCCATCGGAACTATCCGATATGATTTTGCAGGTTTTGTACGAACGAGTTATTATGTACCAGGCGTTTATATGGTTCTAAGAGGTTACAACTGTCAAGATGTGAGGGATGATATGGATGGAATAGATTGATTGATTAACTAGAAGGAGTAGAACAGAGTGGTACACCTGGAAGTGTAGATATATACGTAGTTAATAGAGTGGCTGGTGAGCTCGTAATGTAAGTGGCTGGTCCACTATTCCAACAGCAACCAGTGAAGATCTACCTATTATTATTTAATTCAGGTATATCGAACCGGATATGGTCTTTCTACGGGATTTTCCGGTTCAATGTCCTCCAGGCTTGTGTAAAGGTGGAGACATCGCCGAAGCTCGGCACGAAATTTTGTACAAGGCTAGGAAGCAGAGTGCGAAGCAAAACAGGAAGGACGATGAGAGGGGAAGGGAGGAGAAACCGGGAAGCGGAATGGGAAGTGAAGTAGTAAGCAACACATGAAGTAAGGAGCGATTATCTCCGCTCAAATGGGTTGAAGATATGGAATTTGTACTCCTATTGGAAATGCGAAAGATACGGGAATTGTGTCATGCCCCTAGAGACGGACAGAGAGCCACATCAATCTTGCATTTAAAGTCTAGCAGCGTCTCCTTGAATGAAGCGACTTTAATATGCGCTCAAATCAGACTATAGGCCATATACCTCTACAGAGTTCGTTTTTCTTTTCAAACATGATTGGAACCACGAGAGACAGCAATCGATCCATGTACGGCGTTTATGACTGGGAAGACGAACACGGAAACATTGGTGTCGAACTTTCGAACGAACTGCAGTCAAAGGTGCATGTGACCGAAGCAAGAAGTCTCTTTGACGTTTCTAGTTATGAAATAGGTGCTTGAACTTCTCTTGCAAGCTACTTTAACCGGGAAGGGGTGGAAGGCGCAGACTATGCGTAGTAGTCGACGGGGGGCTCTCAAAAGCCAGAGAAGCCCAGATCCGGTATTATTTCGCGTGGTGCAAAGCCGAAAGTCTGCTCGAGGGCTTCAGCATCACAGTATTAACTATGAACTCGCCAGTCCAAAAAACACTGGACAAGGTTTACTCTGTGATTACGGCGGCAGAGAATTTTGCGCTCTGGTGACGAAACATATTCGTTGCTATCGGTAGTAGGTGGGTGACAGAAGTCGTGGGCTTTGCCGCTGCCATCTACCGCAGAGAAATGAATGGATATATAATAGAAAGGATTTCCTAGCTATATAGACAGTTATTACCTCAATAATCAATCTAAACATCTATCTTACCCATAGGTGAGGCCTATCAAGCCTTGACGTTTATACTTGTGAGCGAACTCAGGGTTAGGGTTAGGGTTAGGGTTAGGGTTAGGGTTAGGGTTAGGGTTAGGGTTAGGGTTAGGGTTAGGGTTAGGGTTAGGGTTAGGGTTAGGGTTAGGGTTAGGGTTAGGGTTAGGGGTTAGGG